TACTAGTAATGAAACTCTTCCCTAAATTCAAAATCCTCACGTTTTGAAACTTTAATCTTAAAATTTAATAATTTTCTAGGTTGGAAACTCCAGTTCACTCTATCTCCTGAACTCCAGCCATATGATGTTCATCTGTTTTGCAACTATCCTCTTCCTGGAAATTCATTTGACAGGAAAAAGTACCAGGACCTGAAATGGGTGTCTCCAGCCAAAGACAAGTGCGACAATGGAGATAGATATGCCGAGCTTATTGTCCATCAAGCTGGTTCGTTTCACTTCTATCTGGAATATGATGATGGTAGGGGAGATAGGTAAGACCATATTACTACAGTACTTGCATGATTCATTGGACACCTCAACTAATATACCAAAGTGCTCTGGTCTGGTCAGGCTTCCCTGATTTTAATCCCTCTTGTCAAGCCCTAATGTAAAGAAGTCTTTCAATGTCAAATCCTATGGTCTACAGTCTTTCTGTGTTGCTGCTCCTCAACTTTGGAACTCTTTACTGTCTTCACTTAGGCCTAGGGCAAACGTCGAACTTTCCATGCACCGAACTCATTAAAAACAATGGATATCAGGTGATAATGAAGCGGCATTCTTTGATGTAATTAAGTTTGGTGCATGGAAAGTTCGTCTTTTGCCCTAGGTCTTAGAGATACTTCTAATTTATCTTCTTTTAAAAATAATCTTAAAACTCATTTATTTAAAATAGCTTTTTCTTTGTAATTTAATTTAGCGCTTAGAACAGACTTTTATAAGTGCTTTACAAGCTTTTCTTCCTCTTGTCATTATTATTATAATGCCCCTCCCCCCTGATTATTAGGCCTCTTTTCTAGTGCTAATGCAAACAAGGCTACTCTGATTTAAAGCCCTCTGGTCTAGCTCTTATGTAAACAGACCCGCTTATGCATTTCAATAGAAGCCGGCAACCGGCAGATTCTGCCATCTACTTTTGCTAATTCTGCCGCCTACTTAGCCACTTCCCAATGTAATTGTAAATTTTGATTAAAGTTTTTTAAAGTTCGTTAAAATAAATTTTAACCCAATCTTTGTTGCTGAACTACGAAAACTGCAACGCAATCGAAACTACAACGATCGTTGTCCTTCATCTTGAATTTTTGTGAGAAGAGTGAGACTGGTGACATGTATGCCTTGATTTACTGCCTATTTTAATTTCATAACTGCCTAAAAGAAATTTTATTGACAACCCTGCCCCATGATTTGGAGCCCTTTGGTCTAGCGCTAATTCAATTAACAACCCCCTTCTGAATTTTAAACACTTTGATCTAGCGCTAATGGAAAAAGGATCTCCCGATTTTAAGCCCTCTGGTCTAGCATGTATACTAATGCAAAAAAGGCCCCCTTGATTATAAGCCCCTTCCCCCTTCCCCCATACTAATGCAAAAAAGGCCCCCTTGATTATAAGCCCCTTCCCCCTTCCCCCAAATACAGTACAAGCCCTTTGAAGCCCATCAAAAAATCCTTATGATTGAGTATTATTAGCAGAGGGCTTACAAATTGTGCATTTTATGGTAGCTAATGTGGGTGTACTAGAAAATACTGAGTCATGGAATAATCCGTGGTATTCTACTCAAAACCATCACATTACTGTATTTTTATATGTAATTTTGCTCTGCATTTTTCAGACCTTGTAAGAAATTATCTGAGACGAGTGGATATTTCACTGTAGACCCAACGTTATACCTCAATGACAAAGAGACTCTTCCCTTGGATTGCATCAGTTTACAGACTGTCCTATCCAAGTGTCTTGGACCAATCTCACAGTGGATGGACCGACTACGAGTTGGCAAAGAAAGTGGATACAATGTGATACATTTCACGCCGATACAAGAACTTGGAGGATCAAAGTCAAGCTACTCATTGTTCGATCAGTTACAGCTAAACCATCAGTTCAATGAACCTGGCTCAAAGAAACCAGCGAGCTTTGATGATATCAAATATGTACTCGAAAAAATGAGAAAAGAATGGAAAGTTATTTCAATAGTGGATATCGTACTCAACCACACTGCGAATAATTCCAAGTGGATTATGGAACATCCTGAATGTGTCTATAATGTATCTAATTCACCTCACTTGAGGCCGGCATGTTCTCTTCTGTTCTCTTCTGTTCTTAATTCCAAGTGGATTATGGAACATCCTGAATGTGTCTATAATGTATCTAATTCACCTCACTTGAGGCCGGCATTCTTACTTGATAGGTTGCTGTGGTATTTCTCCTGTGATATTGCCGACGGGAAGTATGCAGATAAGGGTATTCCACCAGAGGTTAATAACGAGCACCACGTTCATCTTATTGGAGAGATTTTAAGGTAAATAACTACTACCACAGGAAAATCAAGCACTGTACAATAATTTTCCCGTGTGCTTAAATATAATGCATATATATAATGGTGTCCTAATGTAAAAATGTATTTTTAAGATATGCAAGTTTTTACACTTTCTATGACTTTTGATCAGAGCTTACAGGGCAATGAGCAAAAGTATGACCACAATGAATGCATTTGCATACTTCTATGAACAGGCTTTTGTACCTTTAACTGGCACATTTCGATGTGAAGCTGTCTGGTTTTCCCAAATAAGGCATGTAAAGGCTTGTTGGAAGCAAAAAGCCAGTGCATATATGTATGCAAATACTTTAAAGGTGGTCATACTTTTCTGCATTGCGCTGTAAAATAATGGCTGATCAGTGGCTGGTCATAATAAATGGCCAAATCAGGTTTAGCTCTGTCATACATGTACCTTATTTCTGGCTCAGCAGCATTACTGGTCAAAATGATTGAAAAAGCAAAGAGTTACCCAAACAAGTTTCAATACTGACTGGAATTCCTATGTAGAAATATATTTTAAAGAGATGCAACATATTACACTTCATACAACTTTGATCAGAGCTTATGATAACTGCCTGTCAGTCGCTGGTCCCTGGGGGGGGACTCTCTTGAAAAGTGGGTAGGGGGGCTTGACGGACCTTTTAGGGTTGAAAATTAGACCCTGTTACCTTTTAGGGTCTCCGGCTGACTCCCGGCTGACTCCRTACATTTTCGCCCCCTACCCACTTTTCAAGAGAGACCCCCGCCACTATTACAGTTTAGTAAAAATACGCAGGTGATTATAGGAAATCTTGTGCACTGATTGGTCAAGAAACTCACACTGTCACACGATAAACACCTCAAGCAAAAATCCAAGATGGCGGCCAGCCGCTTTGTTGCTGTTACCAGGAAAAAATGCCTTTTATCTTCTTTTTTTYCTTTTTTTGAAAGAACCACCTGTGTATTTATGCTAAAACAATTATTTGCCTCAGTGATGCTCAGTGATTATTGGGGAATATTTACCTCGTCTTTCGCAGACTCGCGTCTCAGTAAATATTCCCCGATAATCACTGAGCATGAGGCGAATAMTTGTTAAATAAGCCCTGCTGGTCATGCACACAAATATAACTGTATAAAATATAATTTCAACATTTCTTTTGCACCTCGAGAGAGAGCTCACAGAAACTAATCAAAATGTTTCTTGGGAAGGGTATTAATTTAAAAAAAACTCATTCGGCCTTTTTTCCTAGTCCTCTTTTCCCGATTTTTTTTTGCAGACCCCCTCCCCCAGATTTTCTTTCCAGATTCCCCCCAGATTTTTTTGGTCTTATGCCTTTATCTTGATTGGACTCGTAATTGATAATACTGTACTGTATGTACACAATGTTTTTTTATTTAATATGATTTTTATATGTTATCCAGAAATGAGCTGATTCCTTCTTTAAAGCTGTGGSAATTCTTCTGTGTTGATGTAAAARCAGCAGTAGAACAGTTCAAGAAGGCAGTCATGAAGAGCAAAAAGAGAACATCAAGTCCTGAGTTGGTACCTGAGTTGGTTAAAGGTGAAAAGCTTCAAGTCAAACCAAGCTCCAAATATGAGAGGAACATGGCAATGATAGATATGGATGA